TAGACCTCAACTATGAGAGACAAAATGAGAAAACAAATCCAGACAATCACATTGTCTGATTTGGAAAGAATTCTTTACATGTCGGGCTATCATAGAGAAGAGGGAACTAACTGATTTATTCTCCAAAGCACTAAAGGGAGGGACAAGAAGTAATGGGAGAAGCTTGTAAAAGAGAGATCCAATCTAGGAGAAATTTTCTGATAGTGAGAACAATTAATCAATGTATTCCACTGATAGATAGTTCTCACTGTCAGAAAATTTATCCTAGATTGTCTCCTGGAGTTGTGGGTGCTCCAATACTGGAGGTTTTCAGAAATCAACTAGACAACCATTTGACCCAGCTGATATAAGGTGTCCTGCCTTGAGCAAGGGATTAGACTTAAACACTTCTGAAGTCCCTTCCAGCCCTATTAGAATTCTATGTTCTAAACATAGTCTTATCACAGGGAAGGATTTGATAGGTGGACAAAAATACCAAAAGCCATCTATCTGGCTGATTGTATGACAAACCATAATGTTGACGAAAACAGGGAAGATGGACTGAAGGTGCATGTCAGTGCTAGCAAACTCTTAGCCCCAGATGCTCCTGCCAATTAGGGCTGGAAGTCTCCTATCTAGAGCCTTCAGAACATAGGCATCTACTGGGAAGAGACATGCGATGAACATAAGGACAGAAATCGTGCTGTGGTATCAAGACCCATGCTTCATCATTCTGGCATCATCTTGATTGGAAATCTGAGAATGAGCTTTGCTATTCCACCAACATGACTGGAAGGTACCATGTTGACAAAGGCTATTATAATTTGTAATATGTTCCCGCAATCTTCAAATCTGATGTGAAAAACCAGTTGCTACCCTACATCATAAAGTATAGAGACAACAAAAACATTTTTTTTAATATTTAACTTCTAAAAAGTGATAAATGCTTTTGATCTAAGCTTTATATATGAATGATCACTTACCCTCCCTGAGAATATCAAATTTTTGTTCAATATATTTCGATTGGTATTGTCCAGAAAGCGCTTTCACTCCAACCCAGAAAATGTCACAATTATCAGTTTTGTTGGTAAGATCACAATAGTGTTGCTTTATGTTTATGCAAGTATCAACGTTCTTGCTAGCACCAGTGCTAACGAAAATGGAAAGGAAAAAAAAAGTCAGTTTATAGTCAAACTATTTTTAAAAAGTAACAAGAAAATCTGTGACTGTTGGTTCTGCTGATTTACTGGGCAACAAAATCAGTGACAAAAATTGAGGAAAGCATTATAAAACCAAACACAGAGTTCTAAATCAAAATAGTCTTACCTATAGCACTTGATCCCCACCGTAAATAGAGGTTTTAAGGATGGGCTTTCATAATCCCAGTATGCAGAGATCTTTTCATTATATGATTTTACCGTAACATTTTTTGGAGGAGGAACTAAAAATTAAAATAAGAGAGATTTTAGAGAAGTTTTAAAACGGTTATAAAGATGCTGTCAGTATCTATCTTCTTTTACTGGGCAAAATTTTGAGATTCCTCCTAGAAGAAACAGATGGTCTAAACCCCCTTCAGGCAGGAATTAGGCCCAAATGTAGGACAGAAACATGCAGGACCCTGATTAATGATCTCTGCTGGGGCCTGGATATGTCACCAGTGTTTGATGCAGCTGACCCTGGCTGTTGTGACCCGCCAGAGGAGCTGGCAGCAGAGTCGGACAGTGAGGAGATTGGGGAGGAACATGGGCCAGTCCTGGAGGCTGAGGAAGACTCGGACGAGGGCTCTGCATCAGAGGCAGAGATGGGGCCAAGGCTGTCTTGTAGTTCTCTCAGCTAGAGAGCAATGAGGCAGAGGAATAGCTGGAGCCTGTTCCCAATGTGCGCATGCGCGGAGCTGCCAGAAGAAAAGAACAACTCAGAAATCAAGGTCAACTTGGGAGTAAAGCCACAGGTGGACAGTGAATGGCTCCTCCCTTAGGAAATATAAGAGGACGGAAAGGGGAATGGGCTTTTGCAGGAAACAATTTGTTTGTTCGTTCATTCGTTTCAGGAGTGTGAAGATCTGTCCGTGAATCTCAGAGACCAAGTCTTTCCTTGCACTGCACTGTGTTTGGAAAACATTTACAAGGCAGCTTTCCAAGCTAGATAAGGTCTGTGGCCATAAATTCACCTTTGAAAGACTGTTTATTAGGCCTTTGCCGGCATTCACATTTGTTTAATAAAAGGGGTTTTGCTGAGACCAGGACAATGTTCCCTCTAATTTTTTTTCAGTGTGAGCGGAAAAGTATAGTGTTTGAGCNCACACACACACACACACACACACACACACACACACACACATATACATCATGCATATGAAGAGCAGTTATGCACAGGGACATTAGAACATAGGAAGTAGGCATTGTTTCTGTGGTGAATGGAATTGATTCATCTATTTCAAATAATAATAGTTGAATGGGCTCTGAAGATAATATTGGGGTGCCTCCATCGGTTCTAGTTGGCCTGTTTAAACAACATCCAGTATCATGATGAAGATAATCCAGCTTTTTGGCCTTCACCTGGCATACAATGTAGAATACTGTGTTTGTTAAGCAACAGCTACATTGTCTGCTGGGTTTCAGGCTGTCTGGAAGTACAAAAGGAAATTGTCATGATACTGTTTTATATTCTGTTATTTACTTATCAGTACAAACTTAGCTTTATAAGAATAATATGCTGGAGTCTTTCTTAATATTAAATAATTTAAGTACTTCCATTATTGTCTTTTATCATTTTTATTTCAAATTATAATGCATTCAAAAGGATACATTTTACATTAGCTATGTTGCACTTTAATTGAAAAAATAGAAGCATGCTAAATAATAATTCAAACGTATTTGTATAAGACCATATAGATAATCTTGTGGCATATACATATAAAGATTATATGGTAGAGTTGTTAAAATATTCATGACTGAATAGGCATAGCAACTAAGTCAGCCAATGGGAGCTTAAACAGATCTGAGTGCGCAGAGAATTGAAACAGAAACTTAAGTAAGAAGTCTGGCCTTGGCTTAGCTGTTTTAACCTCTGTGCTGAGAAACAAAACTCAAGCAGTCTGCTGGTCTGAGAAATAAAAAAAACTAGCAGTCTGTCTGTGCTTGTCTACTGATACGAAACTAACTGCTTGTGTTTGCCTGTAACTCTCCTGCCTTGTGTTCACTTGTTGGCATTATACATTTATTCGTCTATTCTTAGGTATACAAAGAAGTTAATGAATCCTGCTGCATCAGTTATCTGTGTGTGCTACTGGATTTGAATTTATGCAACAAATTCTGACAAGAGTTCGCTAGGAACTCTGTTTCTTTGTGGAGTGCAGGCTAATAGACTGTATTTTTACCTGCTTCAGACCAGAGACTGCCAAGCCTATAACAAAGTTTCTTTCCTTGAAGAAGGCTGCTTTCAGTGCAGGGATGCTGTACCAGCACCAGCACCATTCTGGTATAATCCCAGCGATTGAACCAGATTATCATATCTTGGAATGTGAAATAAAATTTATCTTTGGAATTGGATTCATCTTTAATATTCCACTATGTTTTTAAAAGCAATATAGTTTCTCTAACCCATTGCTCCATTTTCTGACAACACTATAAGAACTATACAATATTGGATTGGCCTACAAGGCTATGCTCTAACAATTTATAATTTAGATATAGAATTTCATATTATAATACTTTCTACTTAGACATTTTACTTTTTGCCCATGAGAAAGAAAATATATTAGGTACAGTGATAGGAATGAACTATTATTAAAGACATATGAGCCACACTGTTTGTAAAATTAATGTCTAAAAAGTCAGCATTTCAATTATGACATTTGTCTATCTTTGTAAATATGGCTTGTCATCAGTGGTGGGTTGCCAATGTTTTTACTATTGGTTTGGGTGCGCGATGCATCTGCCCATGTGCAAAAGTGTCTGGGCTGGTGGACGGAGCTTCCTGCCACTGCTACTACCGGTTCGCACGATCTAGGCCAAACCAAGAGCATTCCACCTCTGCTTGTCATGCAATGGCACCTGTGTATTAATGCTGCAGAACTGATAATGAATCATTAGTTGATCAGTTGTGCAATAATGTTGCATACCACCATTTACTTAAGTAAATAGGAATGCTGGCGTTTGGGAAATTTAATTAAATTTTCTACATAGCATTTTGCCCACCATGGTGCTGGTTATGGCATGATTTCTTATTTTCTAGTAATAGAAACTTTAAAATGGAACATAGTGACCAAAGAAGCAAAAATTACCTGGCCACAAAATATTTATCTCTGCAGGCCAAAACTATATCTGCCTGGCTCCCTGTCTACTGGCTTGTTATTCCAGAAAAGTAAGCAATTGATTTTTAAAAGTGCCAACATGTGTATTTTAAATCACATTTTACGTTTCAAACACTATCTCCTTGAAATAATACCTTCACTGAGCTATTCCATTATAACTTCAAGATCATTCCTTCCTTCCTTTCCTTCCTTCCTTCCTTCCTTCCTTCCTTCCTTCCTTTCCTTCTTTCTTCCTTCCTTTCTCCCCTGAGTTAAAAACAGTTCATATCCCATCAGTTACACATGTGAAGTGAGGGGGTTTGCCCCAATGTACAACACCAGCTTAAATAGTATGAAGTTGAATTTGCTATTTCTTCTTATGTATTCTCTTAAAATGTTCTATAAGGTGTACAGTATGTACAGTCTCCCTATCATCCATGTGCATCCCTTTTCACTTCTTTATTGTATAATAGTCCAACTATTCCTCTGGCTGGTTTTCTGTTTCAGTTATTTATTCAATTTCTATAACCAGCCATCTCAAGCAAGAGACTGCAACACATTTAAAGCACATTATGCCTTACAGTTCTAAATTTTTCCTTGTGTTAATTCATCATACATTTTATTTTTGTTTCTTGAAAGAAGCCTTGTTAATTTCCACAGCTTTCTGGATGCTTTTGAAGAGCTATGCTAGCCTCTTCCTTGAGTTTGCTGACTTTGCTTTACATGTGGAGGCATTCCAGATGAGCTCAGTTAGCAACGTTTTATATAACATCTAGGAATCATGAATAGATTTTGCTTTCTTGACTTTTCATTTCAGTCTCTCTCATTATTCCCTAATTCTGGGAAGTTTTCCCTTGCACAGACAATGTAGAACTTTGACTCCTTCTGGCAAATTCCCACTTGCATGTGTGCTAAGTGTGATAGCATTACACTCACTGTTTCCTATCAGAGTTACAACACATCTCTCACCAAACCATGATAGTGACTAAGGATTAAATCAAGATCAATTCTTTTAGAGCACATGTTACCTAGAAATTGGATTTTTAAAAACGTGCTTCAGCATGAATGTAGCCACTTCTAAGGGTTACTGAAGAATTGTTGTTACAATTCCTCCTTTACATATGCCTTTGATTTTTCACCAGTAGCATTTTGTTCAGATTGGGAATACCAGATACTTAGATCCAATTTGTACTTATAGCTACAGATAGACCTCAGCTTATGTCCACAATTGGGATCAAAACTCCATTGGTAAGCAAGGTAGTAATTGAATTTTATGACTTTTTTTGCTGTAAGGAAATCATACAGTCATTAAGCAAACCAGTCTTTCTCCCATTGACTGTCAGAAGCCAGCTGGTCACAAATAATCGCATGATCCCAGGACAATGCTACCATTATAAATATACTCTGGTTGCCAAGTGCTTGGATTTTGATATTGTGGGAATACTGTGATGTTAGTGAGTGTGAGGACTAGTTCTTCAGTGGTGGTGTAACTTCACTAAATAAATGCTAAGGACTATCTTTATTGTCATCCTTATTGATTCTGTGGACAAATTTTATCTTCCAAAGTTTAAGCACCATTTAACTACATTTTCGTTCCAATTGTGAACATGTCAAGGACTATGTGTAACTGAGTTGCAAGCAATTATTACAGGATCACTGTTTGGAATTTACCATCAGTACTCTTAGGTAATTATTGTCACTATGTACATACTTTATTTTTATAGATATTGTATGATGACCTGCTCTATTGTGTGAATTGGGTTTTTATCCCCCATTTTGAATTCAAACAAAATTTTTATAGTTGCCTAGTTTTTTTTTAAAGTAGAAAATGAACGCACACAATTATACATCCTACAAATCAAAACGAGAGACACAGAACCAAATACAAAAAAGGAAAGGTTGAAGACTCAGATGCATATTGCAACTGTTACATAAAATTTAAGAATACCTCTTGCAGTAGTTAATTCCAAAGGTTAACCTCTGCTCAAGAAGTACAGTATGCCCCCCCCCAAAAAAATCCAGTCTCCTTCCAGATAGTTTCATTGGATTATTTCTGATCCTAGTGTTTTAAAAGAACAAATGCTTCCTCTTTTTCATTTGTTTCCATACCATGCATGGTTTTGTACAAGGTGATAAAGTCTGCTCCC